AATTGCCACCGTCAACTTCCTTGGCTTCTCCACACGCTGCTTCGTAAGAATGAGCAGCCAAAAGTCCTCAACAGTCCTACCCCAACCTACTTGTAGATTCTTCACTACCCTAGCCTAGGACCTACCGGTACCGTTTCAGTTAGGGCCTGCTAGGCCTCTAGGAAATCGGTCCTACTGCTGCACTTAGGGCTCAAGGCCACTTAGGGTCGGTAACTACTCAGCCTCTACTGCTGTTAATTCAGGCTATTTTTAGAACAGCGGGCGGCCCTCAGTAAACACAGCAAAACACACAGCAAACACAGCAGTGCACTGTACAGCCTCGCAGTCAGTCTCGGCAGTTAAAATCAGCAAGTCAGGGGGCGAGGCACCCTGGGAAAGCTAGGATAATTTGCGAAATACCTGCGAGGCCACAGCCTCTATGAGCCCCTTTCTGCCCCCTTTTTGCAGCACGTCGGCCGAAGGCAGGCTCGACGAGGACCTCAGGGCCGCTTTTTGGCCACCGCGCAACTAAGGAAATTCAGGCAGTTGCGCAGCGCCAGTTGGTTGAAAGAACCCAGGCCCTGGGCCGCCTGTTTGCATGTATCGGAAGCAGGCCCTGGGCTGGATACGGGGTATGGGCCAAACACAGGCCTAAGGCAGTTGGGCAAAAGCAACCACCTCAGGCCCTAGGCCTGTTCTGTTTCGGGCTGGGGCCTCAGCCTACCGGGGCCTACCGGAAGCTTCCTGGGAAAGGCCTAGCACAGCCTGGGACAGCAAGCAGGCAGGCCACTTCCATATAGCAAAGGGCCTGCCTCCGCAGTTGGCATTCGGGTGCTGGCTGCTTGCTGCGCAAGCGCTGCTGCGCTAATAGCTGGCCAGCGCTCACGCGCTCACGGGTGAGCAGGAAGGAGCAAGCAGCCATAGCCGAGCTGCGCTGCTGTAAGCTGGGTGTGGCGCAGGGTGGTCCTTGGGTGCAAGTGGCATCTGTGTGTTGGGGAATGAGGTTGTGAGTGAGGCGAGAGACATACCTGGTGCTGGAAGCGTGCGACATTGGTCGCTGTATGCTCGTACTTCGGAAAAGCTGTTGACGTCATCTTCGGCAATGTAGTCTAGGCTAGATAGGATCTGCCATCTGTAGTCTGGGCGCCGAGCGCCAGATAGGATATCAACATTGGTTCTTTATTGATGATGATGGTGAGACATTACCAGCATTGTCAATTATGAGCTCTTGGTGTCTTCTTATTTGGTGAAACTCGTGAAGCAATTCTGCTGTTGGTTCGAGGTCACGACTATCTGGTCTTGTGCATATGATGCTGTTTGATTGCTGAAGTTCGCTATTGCTCATCTTCCTTGCATACCCCTATAAGTTGAGATATTTGCCAAAATGACCCAAAAGATGTGGGTAGAGCGGAATACCCCTCTGACACGAAAACTGTTTTGCAAAATGCCCCTGGCGTCGGTTGGAACTGTCATCTTTGCAAGATACCCCTACCGGGTACCGTCCATGTTTGCAAAATGTCCCGGTACTTGACAACTTTTCCCAGGCCCTATGTATTTTCGTTGTACCCCTAGTGGCCCAGATCAGCTTTGCATTTCCCCCCCTCGCTCTGTGTGTGTGTGTGTGTGTGTGTGTGTGAGAGAGAGAGAGAGAGAGGCTACTTCCATCGATAGGATGAGCAAAATCGGAATGAATCTTCTACTAGAATATGGAAATATACACTGCTTTCCAGCCATGAGCGCAGAGAGATAGCGAGAGGCTACTTCCATTGATAGAATGAGCAAAATCGGAATGAAATCTTCCTCTAGAATATGGAAATATACTTTTCTTTTTTTTTTGGTGTGTGCGTGTGTGTGTGTGTGTGTGTGTGTGTGTGTGTGTGTGAGAGAGAGAGAGAGGGGGGGGGGGGGGATAGTTTCCATGGATAGGATGAGCAACGCACTGGCCAACAGGCAAGTCTCCAAACCTGCGGCTGGCCTCGCGCTAGTTCCATCGATAAGATGAGCAAAATCAAATGAATCAACCGCCAGAACATGGAAATATACACTGCCACGTGTGTGTGTGTGTGTGTGTGTGTGTGTGTGTGTGTGAGAGAGAGAGAGAGAGAGAGAGAGAGAGAGAGAGAGGGAGCGGGATAGTGAGGCGGGATAGTGGGAGTGGCACACGGCGAGAGAGAGAGAGAGAGATCAGAGTGGCAAGCAGGAGGATTTCTTGGTGACGTGGCATAGGAGGAGCTGGAGATGGGAAACCTCACCAGGGAGGACGATGCATGAAGCTGCAAAACATGGAGGCAAACTGCCCCGCCGACGGGCCTGGGTATTGCGCAAAGTTGCCCACCCGGTATGGAGGGCGAACCGGGTCAAACAGGCTGCAGGCCCAGGCCCCAATGACACGGTCCAGATTGCAAATTTGCACATGGGCCTGACAGGGGCGAAACGCAAAGAATTAGGCCCAAAGGGGCATTCCGCTCTACCCACATCTTTTAGGGGCATTTTGGCATATATCTCAACTTATAGGAGTATTTTACAAATTATCCCAAAAAGTAAAAAAGAAAAGAAAAAAAAAACAAAGATCATTGACTCATTGCAGATGGCCCCTCTTCCACACGTGGGCAAAAACTCACGAATAATCAGACTGAAACCTGTACAAACTACTGCAAAGGTCATTGCAGATGCCCTCTTCCACACCTGAGCACGTCCCCCTTTCGCTGAACCAGCAGGAGGAAATCACAGAAGTTCCACAGAAACCCAGGGAGTCTGGGGCAAGGGAGGGTGCAGCAGGAGGAGGGGACCCCCACCAGCAGGAGGAAATCACAGAAGTTCCAGAGAAACCCAGGAAGTGTGGGGCAGGGGAGGGTGTAGCAGGACGGAGGGACCGGA